TTATTATTATTACAAATGAAGAGATTGAAAGAAACTATCACTTTGTATAACCTACAGTACAGTACAGAATATGACATCAATCTACAAAAGCCAAGCATTTAGCAAAAACCTAAAACTCCGCCTACTCAGAACAACCACATTCTTTATTTCCACATATGCCAGTGAGTCCTGGTCCAACAAAACAAAAAGGAAGCATTCGAAATGTGGATGTACCAGTGTGTCGTGGATGGAGCACAATGATTGGATTCCACAACAACTTAAAACCACGCTAATGTTAGTGAAGCAGATAATGAACTTCGGCCACAGCGCAATTAGAAGACCCATAGGAACTTGAGAAGTAGATAATTAATGAATGCAGAGTATGAAAGCATAACAAGAAACTGTTGAAAATCGGGATCTAAGTACAACAGCTTACTCTTGATTGACCTGATCGAGAGAGAGTTTTTAATTAATATTTATGTTATCACGTATGCTCAAAATGTTCACCTTCAACATTGTTAAAAGGATGTTAGGACTCTTGAGGTGTTTCAACACACAGATCCGGTCGTCAGTTAGTCACCGGTGACAATCCAAACTCGTCAGGAATAGAGCCAACACACACACAAATGCTCATACTCGCATAACCGCGATGTAATTAATTATCATGCCCAGTGACCTTTATTGTTGCCGAACAAATGTATATTAATATATCATCATGGTAACCAATAATGTTTTATGTTGGAAATCGTTCGGAACTCTTAAATATGTTATATGTATGTTATATACTTGATGATGGAGTTCTATTTATTATACAACATAGATATACTATTCATTTGACGTGTTGTAATATTCCAACACCAAAACAATGGACAATCTTCTTGCAAGGTCTAGAGCAGCACAAGAATCAGTATTCGCCAAGATATTTGTTGATAACTAAGCATGGAGTAACTTGTAATCACCACACAACCTCTACTGAAGCGATTACTAGTGTTATTACTCCATAAATTGAAAACTCAAGAACCACAAGCCCGGTGGTAAAGTAATAAGAATTTTTTTAAAGGCCAGCATAACACAAAACTGTATAAGATAACCATCTCTTTATCTTTTTCGACAAAATGACTGATAAAAATGACCTCATCTAAACAACTGCATCAGACTTAGCACTGACAATTTCTGCTGTCGCGAGACTTTGATTGGTTATTTAATTGCCTGCTGCTCTATGGAGCTCATGATTTCAATTAACACATTTTTACTGACACTAGTGACGGGAAATAGTTATTGGAAGTCCAGGAATACCCAATGGGGAGTTTACCATCTATTAAAAATGGACAGTCTGATCCTGCCATACAGAACCATGTTGCACATTTGAGCGATGCGTCAAGTACTGAATGGAAGGGGGTGTCTTGAACCAATGTGTCAAGGGGCTAAGGCAAATGGAACACATAAAGAAAATAACTGCAGCACACTGACAATGTTCAGTCACAGTGTGACAATATGACAATGGTCAACAATGAAGGGCTACCAGGTTGGCAATAAACCAAAAAAAAATTTCTAGTTCCAACTGATGGTGAACCAACTGATCGTGTCATACATAGATCTACTTGCCAACTGCTACAACCACAAGTTCCCGTTTGACTAAGGACACACTTTGAAACTTATGTCATGCTAGCTGCAACACCACTCAAATTATAACAGAGGTGACCAATGTCATTATGATAGCACATTGGCCGAACAAGCTGTGTTTCCGATATTTTGCTCAGCCTTTTAACAACAGTTATTAACACCAGGCCCAATAGTACTTATACAGCCAAGAAGCCAGTTGCCAACAAATGGTTCAGCTACTTTACATTTCATAAACCGAATAAGTGTAAAACGAAGAAAATCAGGGGCCACAGCAGTTTTTTTTTCTTTTTATGCCTCGAGTTTCTGATACAGTTTCATAAATATTTACATTTATTTTTTTGTAGATCAACATCTATGGCAGTCAATGAGCCGACACAACTTTTTTTCAGAATTCATTTTGAATCATGTTAGAGGGTACACTGCTAAGCAGATTACCCAAGACTTTATTGAACATACGTTCGTCAAATAATTAGGTCGTTCAGGTTTCAAAAATTTAGCACAGGACCAACGCCCTATTGAAGGCAGCACGGACAGTGGTTTTCAAGAAAACATCGCCATGGTCTTTACCATTTGTGCTTGTATTAGACCTAGCCTTAGGGGGTCATTGCAATGATTTAACGACTCTAATAACCAGCCATAGATTGATTGAAGGTAGGTCAAATGAAAATGAGCATAATGCAATCGCCTTGGAGTTAGAACGATATGTGGTGAGC